GTGTGTGTGTGTGTGTGTGTGTGTGTGTTACAAAAGTGAGTAGAACACTATATGAAAAAGCAGTTTTGATAACAGTCATAAAACTACTAAAATACCATTGAAGTTGTTTTAAAAAATGCTGTCAATTGTTAAATTTCTGTGTTTTTGATGGTATTTGAATTGCCTTGTGGCCCAAGTGCCTGCTTTTAAATTACTGCTGCTTTTGTCTAGTACTCATTTGCCTCATTTATTATAACATAATGTTACTAAAAAGTTGTATTTACATATGTTTAGGTGTTTAATTATACTCAAAAGTGTTGCTGAATTTTGTTTGTTTTCACGGGAAGTTATTATTGAGTGTCAAAGATATACAGTAACTATTTCACATAAAAAGAGAAAAAAATCATTACGTGAAACATAATGCTGGCAATCTGGAGAATATGTTTGTAAAATTGTATTAATGAATCTGTTCTTTATTAAAGGAGAACATTTGGTTAACTCATCATTCAGAACACACTGATAATAATCTGTTCTTTCCAATACCCCTTTAAAACTGAAAAAAAAAAAAAAAAAAAAAAAACGCATCTGAATGTTATGCATGCAATAAAATCAATACAAGTTTTAATTAAAATTATTTAGATACAGCTAAATAAACAGTGGGTAAAAATTGATTAATATCCCAGCCACCAGTCAAGACAGTTTTTTGAAACACTCGCAGAATGAAATGCAAAYAGCTCAATCAACCTGAAACCAGAGCTTTTCCAGAAGAACACTAAGATCAGATTGCATCCATGAGTTTATAGTTGTGTGCCACTGTTGAACTTAGCTTTTAGTCTATAAGTGATTTTTAGGGGTCTCTTTTTGTGTGGTCTGTCTTGCATATTGGAGATTTTGGCACTCGAGACTCTCCTCCCTCTAATTATGTTATAACGTCAGACCCTGCCAGGCTCAACTGGTGAACATTTTTCAGAGTGCACCAAAGTGCCATGCTGCCAGTCTCATAACTAAAGATGGATGGCTTACTGGCATGTGCATGTGGAAAATTGTTTATAGATCTGCAACATTTACACAGCGCACCACATCTTCATGTCAACTTGCTGGAGTCTTCTGTATTTAATTCTGCATAATTGATATTGTTGGTCATGAAAAATGACAATCTTGTTAATATTCCCAAGTAGCATTTGCTATTTTTGCCACAATTATTCAAATACTTAAATAAATCTTGCTTCAAACTGATGACAAAGTGACAGCCAGAGCTTTGCTGACCCTCCCTTTGTGTCACTTTGCAGACGCTTGCATCAACGCTGAAATGCAAGAGGCAGACATTCATCTGCTTGTTATAAAAGCTTAATGATCCTCCTTTGATTACAACTGGCATCTGGCTTTTGTATGCATGTCTCTGATTTGTAATATGCTCATAAAAATAAAGTGAGATCAGAGGAACTCCAATACAAGGATGGCCTGATGTTAAAATATCTTTCAGTAAACAAAGTTCTATATTGCAGTCAACTGTGGCTAGGAATTAATAATAAATCTGTTCAAACTTCACATTAGAGAAAAATAATGTAACTCTGTGTTGTTATTTATGCTTTCCCTTTGAAATGTGTATTTATCTGAGACACATGCAAGTGATTTCCCTGGGGTGTTACAGTGGCTGTTATGGCTTGATTCCACGTTTTCAACACACACACACACACACACACACACACACACACACACACACACACACACACACACACACACACACACACACACACACACACACACACACACACACACACACACACACACACACACACAGGTATGGTTCTCTATTTTAAAGTGGTTGAACTGTGAGGCACCCATTTTATTTGACTTTTTTGTTTCTAATGGTTTTGTTTATATATGTCGAGAGGCTTAATAGTAATGTAATAGTAAATAAGACTATTTCTGGTGTAAAAAWTGCAAAATGGCTGGTCATAACTTTAGACACAATGTCAGCCCTAATTTATTTTGCAGTTTATAAACGTTTGCAGCCTAATCACTACTGCAGTTTTCTAGTGGGTTGTCAATCATGCTTGGTCCAGACAATAAATATGGCCTTTATTTAATGACAAGTCCCCACAACCTTTGAGATTATTAGACTCCAAACACTAAGGTGAAACTAACCTGTTACTGGTAGCAGTGACTGATTGATTTTTCTCTCAACCATTCTCACCTCTCTGCTGACAACTTCTTATTACAACGGCTGATGTTGGCATGTTGAATCTTAAAAACTAAGTGTGTCCACATCCTGATATGAGATATTGAACTTTCTTCTGACACCATTACCATTTTGTGAACTGCACAATAAAAAAGTACAAACCTATTCCTGATAAAATAAAAAAAAAAGATAGTTCGATATTCTTTTACACAAGTACAACAGACAAATGCTGGAGAGGGGCTTGGGAGTGATGCTGCTGAGGAGTGATAAAGACCCTACAAAGAGGGTCTTTATAAGACCCACGTGTAGACAGTTGGATGCCACATTTTAATAAAAGCAAAATCTACATTTGGAGTAGTTGCATTATTTGTAAATCCTCTGAACCGTCCACTACTGTAWCAGGAACACACACTATCTCTCTGGATAAGATTGTATTGTTATGTATATATACTGTATCTATCATTTTCACAGTTCAGTTAGATGTTATTCATGGGGGAAATCAACTTATGATCAAAACTTTACAGTATGATTGTCAGAGTCAGATTTCAATTTGGACAATCAATTGTCACAATATAGAAACATTCAACTTTAAATATTTTTTATATATTTTTTCTTTTAAATGTTGACCTAATGTGGTACTGTAATCTAGTCTTAGTTTTTCAATAAGGACACATTTGTTTTTCCCTTTTTTAACCAAAGATTCTGCAATATTTCCTGTTCCGATGTTAATGGTTGTTTCCTCCTCTACTGTTTGAAGTAAAACTGTAGTGCACCAGTGTACAATTGAAACATCAGACGCCGGATTTAAATCAACATAATGT